CTTCGTCGACTCACTCAAAACGCCAGACGAATTCACAGCTAACATTAAGCACAATATCTGACATTTTAAGGTTAGCCTTGTGCAAATTGTCGTCATTTCAAACAAATGCATTGAATTTGTTTAAACTAATACCATGAGCGAATACTTTAAGGTGATTGGTTAGTCCAAATATGTCGCTTACTTGGTGGTCCAGAGTATTGAGAAGCATTTGCGACAGAAGCCGTCATGACCTGACGTCGTTGCGGTGTCATTCTGCTAAAATTACCCAATAAAATCGCATATATTGCGCAAATTAGATTGGTCAAAATAGACGAAGCAGGATTGATTGATTAAAATGAATGAATGAATGCACGTTTACCTTGGCGTCTGGTTGATGTTTTCTGCAGACGTGACCGACCTCGTCGCTAGTCGATTGCGGTTTGCGGGGAGCGGAGAAAACACCACCAGACTACCAGTTCCATCACCTTCCGGAGTCTAGAAAGCACAATGTATCATGTCTACTAATTTATTTCAGTAGAAAGGCTTTCTTTGAGTAAAAGATAACTTTACCTGACGTCTAGACGGCGTCTGAATTCGATCCGACAACAGTGGGATAGTTTGTGGGATTTCCGTGCTGGAAGGCGCGCGATTGGCTCCTGACAAGGGCGTTTTTGAGCCCGCGGACCTATCAGAATTCACACTTTTCAACCACTCAGTGTTCACATACAGCGGCTCAGGTATCAGCGATTTACGTTCCTCAATATTTTTGCGACTCTAAAACAATAAAATGACACAATATGTTCTTACCGTCGTAGTGAGAATCACTCAAATAACACATAAAAATCGATAATATAAACACACATTTTCAACTTGTGATTTTTCTTCCCCACGGCTTGCGTTTTTCCTAGCAGAATTTGACAGTCGTTTCTCAGAGTCCTCACTAACTTGGGTCAGGGTTGATGGAGGATCATCAGCATCATCTTCCTGCTGTCTGACCACGTCGTCAGGAGTTTTAGTCAGCGAAATGCCATCATCTGCGTCGCTATCCCACACACTGCTCGTCGTATTTAGCGCCGCCTCTTCCTGCCCCTGCAGAGGGCAAAGAGCCGCAAATATCTCAGCTACTTAATTTAAATCAGTAGATAAACAAAAACAAACGTTGACCAACCATCGCGGATGAGACGACGGCCTTCAGCCCAGGCGGGAACCTATTGACTGCCAGCTCGTTTTTCCCGCGAAATTCGTTTTCCTGTTCGGATGAATCCCAGGGACTGTCATCGTCCTCGCCGACATTTTGTTTGACGTTTTCGCTTGGTTGCTGATTAAAAAAAGGGTAAATATGGCATGGTGCTGTTGTTTGTCAAAATGAAATTTCGTTACACTTTTGTTCTCGTTTCGAAAAACAAATTTGAAATTACGCCAACTCAAATCTTCGCGTGCGTTGCGTCGCAACCGCGTCAATGCAACCAGAACGTTCGGTTTCTTGGCGTCTTTGTTGTCGCTGCTCCAGCTGTCGTGAAGCCATTTTAAGCAGTGGGGATATTTTGCGTACATAGGTGACTTTAATTTGACGTTTTTTCAAAAAATCAGTTACCCTTATTGTGCGAAACTGCTTTGTTACTACAAAATCTTCACCTACTTTTACACACACACCTACAACACTGTTACCCAATCAGAACTTCGGAGGCTTGTTCGCAAAATTGATTGGCTACTTCTCGCCAACTGAAAGCACTCAATAAAGTCAAGTTAGTCGTTTTACAAAATATTATAACAGTATTTTTTGGACAAGCTGAATCGAGCAAATAAGTTGCTTCTTTATTTTCTGCTCTGAAATTGTACTTATTACTAGTCAGTAGCACCGGCAGTTTCAAACAATATCTGCTGTACTATTGGTCAAGAAAAAAATTGGGATTTCTTTTCTTATTGGCTGTTTTGAACATGTTGACCTTGAATGAACGCGAATCGACAATGAATGACTTGTAGTCGGCAGGCGAAATTTGTTAAGCTTTGAGTTATTTTTTTTGTCAGATGGTCATAGACGAACGCGCTCAAAATTTGGACAAGTGAAAGGTCAAACTCACGTGTTGCTTTCGTGGTGGTGACGTGACTTGATTGTCTACCACGGAAACCGCTGATTTGGCGTTGTTTTCGCCATCACCGCTGCTGCTCTCCCAGCTTTCCGTATTGTCAGTCAGGTGAATGGGCGATGGCGAGACGATCACCTCGGTTTCGGTTTTGTGCTGTCAAAAGAAAAGTATTGATTTTCGATGGTAGCCAAAAATTACGATTCTTTAACCAATCAAATCACTCTTAGAATCACCGAAGACTTTTTAAACAAAAAGTGGCGATTTTTTAAATTTTGAAAGGGGTTTAGTGTTTAGAAGATCACGATAACCTCGCTAAGTGCTGACCTCATTGCTATTGCTGCACAACAGGTCAATATTTTAGGCCAAATTAATACGGCGATTCTAAATTTACGACAACTTACAACCTCCTTTGCACGTTTCGCTAACAAAGCGGCGGCCAGATTAACTTTCTTTTGTTTGAATTCGTCGTTCACATCGGAAGTATCGCTGCTCCAACTGTCTCCTCTCAAAGGCTACAAATCGATAAGCAAACGAAGAATAAAGTTTCCACAAAAAATGGCGAGTTTTTCATCACAAAGTTGGATAAGTCGCATTTTCTAAAACGACCATCGTATCCACTTATTCCGCATTCACTTCGATTGGTTGTATACACACCGTTTGCCGAATTCAAACCCGTCGCGACAATCTGATTGGCTACTTCTGCCTGAGCTCAAGATTAGCTTTGCCATTCTGCTAAGACAGGTGGAGCTATTTCGTTAACATGAGCGCCTGTTTGACGCCTCCATTAAGATTCTAAGACAGTTGATATTACTGGAAGGAAGTTAATAATTAGCATCGAAAAATCAACCAAAATCTGGAACGCGACCTGTTTGAGAGCAGTATCCACGGACGCCGTGTGACCCGTTGGAAGGACAGACGTTTTGCCAAAGTTGCTGAAACTCGCGCCAGATTGCTTCGAAGATTTGAGTTCACGGGCTGCGAAGAAGGAACAGAGTGTGGATCAAACTCCAATAATGCCAGACTGGTTTAAACAGGCTCCACGAAATGCTTTGAATCCCGTGTTGGACAAAGGATCCGCTACAACAGAGACGACTTACGTGAATGCCTCGGCAGGACCTCTGACTCTTCAATGGACGACGTCCTACCAACACCACCGTGGCCTTGGAGAGGTGGCCAGTGCTTGACAAAAGCGTCGTCACTGCTTGACGTATCTGTCTCGCTGCTCTCAAAGACACCTTCCAGGATCTCGTCACCGGTGTCTTCACCACCGCCGCCGCCACCGCCACGAAAGTACTGTTTGTTGACTTCACCAGCGACCAACTTGCGTCCCGCCTTCTTCGATTCGCCGCTGTTCGTAACGCGACCCACGGAATCCCGCAGGCTGTGCAGAAGCTGGTAGCATTGCGTCTGCTCACTGGACTTCGCTATCTCCTCGGCAGTTTGGCCTTGGGGAAGAGAGCATATGGTGCTTTGCAGAATTCGCAGTCCATGTTGCCGCCAGACAATGCTGGTGGCCCGCTTAACGCAACCACCCTCGTCAACCATCACGGCTGCCCAAGTGACAAGACACCTGGGTCACGTGATTGATCAACAAAACGTCCTTGAAGGTTGCATGTGACAAGGCCGTCACGCTGTCTCGACGGCGTGCCAGTGTCTGGCCATCGAATCCACCTCAATAGCCAATGAACTAGTCGCGCGAATGCCACGTTTTCCCGGATAAGAAACGGCACCATGTCCCAAATCTGCTCTACTACTAGGATTGTAGCATGGCCGGATTAGCTTACATGCTCGTGGAACGCACATGTGCGAACACGTGCGTAACCACAACAACGTACACAAAATTGTTGATCTATGTCAAAGTGATCCGTTTTTGTGGAAATACGAGCTTGACAAAAGCGTGTATATGCTTTAGCGACATTTCAAAAAATGGGATTACTTATGACTATACATTCAAGATGCGAGAAATTTATGTTGGATAGGAGTCGCATCTTCGAGCCAGCTGCATCATGTTATGTAGAATTTTACCTACATTGCACACAGATAAAGCTTAAATAATGCCCTTTAAATAGCCTGATTAGATTTTAATGCAAAGGTTTATATACTCACCATTGTTATCGCAGAGGTCAATATTGGCGCCACAACTAATAAGGAGTTCGGCAATTTCTGCGTTACCAGATTCACACGCTATCATCAGTGCGGTTCTACAAAAAAAAGAGTAACAATCCAACTAAATGTGTTAAGGATAAGCCTTGAAAAGGCTGTTTTAAATGTGATGTAAAACGTGGCGGCTGATTTAATTGCGGGATTTTAAAGGCATTTAAGTGTTAGCAACAAAAGCATGACGAGAAACACAGAGTTAATTAGTGTTTAAAAAACCAGATCACCACAAACTGGCCATTTCCTTGAATTAGCTAATCAAGAACTTAGTTATGACCAGAAAAAAGTGATGTAAATTAATGTATTACCACCCAAAACAATTTTTTTTAGCAAATAGGACAAAAGTAAAAGTTTTGTTTTGCATAACCGAGGTAATCTGTTATCATTCACTGGTGTTTCGCTAAAAAAATTCATTTACCTTCCATTTTCGTCAGTGCAGTCAACCTCCGCTCCCTCTTGAATAAGAAATCGTAACATTGCGATATCTTGCTTTTTAGTGGACAGATGTATCGGTGTCATACCATCCTACAAAGCAAAAGCCATTTTTTTCTAGCTCATTGCGGGCAAAAGTCAACAGTTAAATTTAAACACGAAGATGAGAATCCAAAATTGAAGGAATTAAACATATAGGTGTCTGTTGCACTGCAAAGACAATGCCTTTTATGCAAAACTGCTTCATAGTCATGCAAACGATGGTAACTAAGACTACCGATAACCTAGCTCGAAGATTAAGGGTGACGGTACATGAAAAGTGATTCTGTTTGAAAGACGTAGATTTTATGGGATAAAACGGTATTTTGCACTACTTTCAAGCATTACCTCGTTGTGGGTGTTGATGTCGACACCGTTTCGAAGGAGGAGTTCAAGAATGTTTTGACGACCATATTTAACCGCTTGATGGATTGGTGAATTCCCATATTTATCACGAACAGTCAGGTCAGCTCTGTAATTTAGTAACAGATCGACGCATTCGAAATGACCACCTTTGATTGCTTTCATTAATGGTGTCTGATTATTCTGGTCAAGGAGGTTAACCTTGGCATTAAATTCGAGAAGGCACTGGGTAATGTTTTCATCACCCTTAGCACAAGCTAGATGCAGAGGAGTCCTAGAGAATTAAAAGTTTTAGGTTATTTTACCTCAATTCCTTATCAGGAATCATGGGTTCTTTCATTACAAGTCGCTGTACAGCTTCCAAATCACCAGCCCAAACTGCTTTCTGTAATTTTGAAAGCTCTTTTTCTTTAACATCGTAACCGATGGCAATAGAAAATAACGAGTTGTCACTATCTCTTGTTTCAGAATCTTTGTGCAAACTTTCTCTTGATGAACTACGCAGTCGCTTAAGAAACTTTTTCATTGCTGTTACGAAAACAAAACGATGTAACACCAATTACCGCGCCTTCCTTGACGACCTTGAAATAGGGCTTTTGAAAAAATTACAGATTTGAACTGTTTTACATTTAGTGTAAAACTGTTTTTTGCATCACATAGTTACGCTAACCTTTCTGTTATATGTAGATCCGTTTGAGTACAGTTAGGAGGTTAAAAGAACCGCATCTTCACTACAAATACATTTCGTTAATGTTTACCGACCCCACAAAATTTAGTTAGCCGTTAAATATTCCTTGGCACCTAGAAACATTAAAATTTTAATATCATAATTAGCCTTAGGACTTGCAAAAACTCCATTTGCTTTAGTCTTCAAATAAATTATTGAAGAAAAATTTGTTAGATTTTAATAAATCATGATGAAACTAAGACGTTTTGTATAGCTTTCCATTGGGTAAAAAGGGCCGTAGTACTTTATTTCAATGTACATTTTTTTTATTTTAGGAGTCATTGCATGTGCTAAATTTGTATGGTGATTGTTAGTCGTTCCGATATCAAACAATTCTTAGGCAATTCCAGTAACAGCCTTCTGCGACTTTTTGATTTCCACTATTCATATCATGTAGATTATTAGGATTTTGTCGTTTATTGTTCATAAAACGGGAACAGTTTGCAAAAGTGGACTACAGGAAACCTAATAAAACTCAACGTAGAACATCATATTAAAATTGTCACTAGTAACTTCAAAATTCCAAAGATAATCGACTGCACTGACATGGAAATTAATGCCATTCTGAAGACACGTTTGCATAATTTACATCAGAAATGGATCAAAAACACATGTCATTGTCCTTTTCGTCACAACCGAGGGTGCTTTGAATGCATACCGTACATTGTTTTCATAATGTGTGTGTGTGTGTGTGTGTGTGTGTGTGTGCGATTGTATGTCCTGGATCCACACAAATACTTTTCGCACAATTTTACACCTCCCACATTTGCTGAATTAACATACTTTCACAAGAGTGGAAGTGACAGGAGAAATTGTGAATTCTAATTGGACACGAATGCGGATACTATATGTTATGGCCACGCCTTTCGCAATTCGTTTCGATGCCTAAATCGCCAAAAATCAATATCAACATCACTTCTCACTTATTACTTCCCATAACAAGTAAATTGATGGCACTAATTCGAATCCGAATGTCACCTCAGTGCCTTCCTTTATAAATTGATATGTTATTATGTTAAAGTGTCATGATAGGCTCAACAAAAATGTTTACGGATGAGCAATCATAGCAACATCGTCCTTGGTATTATCACTTCGGCTTGACTTCTATATACACTCAAGTCTCAAACACAATCTAGTTCTTACAAGTATGCAAACATGTCGTCAACACTTAAATATTTTGCTTCAAGGCACACCGAAAAGTGTTGTTTTAAGCCACCACCACCACTTCTCCATTCATTTCAAACAAAAAAACAGAAAAGATGTTATCGCCCGTTTGTTCACTATTGAGGACGCTTTAAATGTATACCATACATTGGTTTCATGATGTGTATACGTGTGAGCGATTGTGTGTCCTGGATCTACGCAAACATATTTCACACATTTACACACCTCCTACGTATGCTGAATTAGTATTTTGTCACAAGTGTGAAAGTGACTAGTGAAATGGCGAAGTCTAATTGGACACGAACGCACCTACTCCACGTCATTCACGGTCACACATTTCTCAACTCGTTTAGCTGAACAAATCGCCACAAATCAAAGTCGCTTCCCATTGTCTTGCCAATCCAAGTAGATTGATGTCGCTGATTTGGATCTGAATGCCACCCCAGAGCCTCCCTCTCTGAATCAGTAGGTCATTATGCGGATGAGTCATAGTAGGCTCAACTAAACCGCATACGGATGAGCACTCGCAGCAACATTGTCCTCGGTGTTGTCATTTGCGACTGAGTTTTGAAATCAACCACGCATCCCACACAATCTATTTCTCACAAGTATGTGGGCGTGCCGCCTAGAGTTAAAAATTTTGCTTCAAGACACACCGAACAGCGCTTTTTTGAGCCGGTAGTAGGAGCGTACGAGCAGCGCGTGAGCAGATTGAAACTCAACTCTCAAACTAACCTCGTGGTACAGCTAACACGCAGGCAAAAAACAGAGGACGGTCGCGTCATTTGAGGCACTCAAACGACGCCAAACAGTCCCGAGTTTGTTTCAAAAAAGCCCTGTTTTTGTGGTCGTCAAAAGTATCACTGGGGACGCTGTATACCCCATAATCCCCCACGGCTAAGCATTCGATCGGAATGTCCACAGAAATGGAACATTCCTCTCACCTCCGAATCAAATACTCATCTTTAATTTTCCAATATTGGAAAGAATGGTTTCGTGTGAAGGAAATCACGCATTCTCTGGAGATGCCAGTCAGATAACGCGCACATTCAAAACGCCAAATCAGCAGAAACCAAACGCGGTGAACGCATAATCACTGCACAGTGAAATCAACACGTCTTTATCACACCCGCCACATACGCCGTTTACACAGATCGTCGAACGTGATGAAAGCGTGCTGCATTCAATGCATGATCGACAATTATTCAACAATACAATTCGACCACCTTAACTAAATATTTTCATGTGAAAGCCAATCTCACTGCAAATGCGCTTCGAACACACCAGTCGTGTTTGTGGTTCTAGCAATTAATTTAGTCTAGAAAGCCGTTTTTGTGTTCAGTCATTTTTTAACCCAGCAACGTCGATTTTGCCGCCTGATTTAGCGTCTGTGGGGATTACCTGACAGCAGGCCGGCCGGCGGTCACAGGTGCAGTCGAATTTGCCGGACCTGTAGCTTTTCCATGAAGAACTACAGAATGCCGGTCGTTCGACAGTGACCTCCTCCTTGTCCACCCTAACCACACCGACCTGTGTAAGCTGCCTTCGTGGCTTTGCCAACTCGAGTGTTCGCCAAGTAGGCGGGCGGTGTCCAACCGTGGTGTGGGTGGAACGATTATGGAGGTCTGCGTGCTCTCGTAAGGGATTCACATTGGTCGAAACCAGAGCGAACGCTCCCCCTAACCTTCTGGTATCCAGTGTCGCTGAATCGCGTTTCCACACGTCAATCAGCACCACAGGTGGCACCATTTGTGGTGTACAATCAAGTAGTCATTTGTGGGGCCCGAGTTCTTTCTCCTACTCTGAATTCCTCTCAGTGACAATTTATCTGTTATTTGATCTATCGAAATGGCGTGTCCGGTTGAGATGAGACTGCGTCCATAACTGCGGAATCGACTGGCGTTTCTCCAATCACAAGTACGTTTCCACTTGTGAGGCTGTTCGTGTTTGCCTCAGGCGGAATTTTCAGACAGCCCAAGTCACATCAACCTTCGTGTCGATTACCAGCAGTCAGATTATTGTTTGCCACCTGTATACTGCGATTTCCATCAAAATGTCATCGTCTAGGCTAGGTAGAAAAGTGTTTGACAAACTGGTCGCAAATGACTCATCTCCCGACCGATAAATGTCATTGGCTAGACTGTGGCCTTGCGGTTTCAGAAAACCAGTATTAAATTTTCATGTTTATTTTTGTGCCCAATTGGGCAAAAGTTAAATGTGTCACCAACAAGATGCCCTTTTACAAACAATTATAGCCGGGTGATTTAACGACAGCAAAACGCTGACAGGTAAGACGAACCTGAGATATTGTCAGGACAATATCTGAATTAAATTAATATTTTAGCACAGATTATCTTGATTCGTGTATTGTTTTCAATATTCGGATTTAACCACTTCTCAGGTCAAGTCGAATCAAAGAACAAGTTAAGAACATATGCAAGATAATGTCCAATAGTTCAGCGACGTGACCTATCAAATCAACTCAAGCAGACGGCAGCCATTGGTCAGATCCTTCGTATACATATCCGCAGACTCAGCAGAGATCTCGCAT